AAAGTATATCCTGTGTGGTGGCCGAAAGGGAGCATAGGGATGTGGCTTCCTAAGTTCTGGAGATCTGATGGGATCCTGGAGCCAAGTGTTGAGCTGCTTATTTTCAGTTTTGATTTTGAATAACTTACTGTGCTTCCTTATTTCTAAAATAGCATGAAGCCACTAGGCCAGTGGGTAATATGTTGCCTCTGAGTACCTATAACATTCCTTGTAGCTACAGGAAGTTAAAGTTAAAACAAAATTGAGGTTGATGGAAAGAACAGAGTCTGATGCACTAATTGCATTACCAGCTCGATATGTTTGTGTTTAGGCAAGCAAAACTTGGAATCTAGTGCAGTAGACTATTTAATTACCAAGTAGAAAGTAAACTAAAATGCTACTACTTTCCTTGGGAGTGATGAGCACTGTAGGAAGACTTCTGATAGATACTATATAATTTTTTCATTAGGATCACCAAAAGAAAAAGAAGAAAGAAATGAAAAGGAGGAAAGGGAAGGAGGAAACTACAGGCTTTAGAGCCATCTGAGCTCTTGGAGAAAGGAAGGGACCTGAAAACTAGCCGGGTTCATTTTAGCTATATGTCCTTCTTCCTGGCTCCTAGAACAATACTGGAAGAATAAAGATCTTTTGCCCTTAAGAAAATATGCATCATGTATATTACTTTTTTCCTAGATTCTTCCTGGTCTGCAAAACAAGGTAAATCCATATTGATATTAGAAAAAATATGTATAAGGTGTTTATCTTATTCAGAAGCTCAGACTTTTCGTACCTTTTTTCTCTTTAACAGCCTAACAAGAATGTTTCATTTTAAGAAAATCAAGCAAGAATCATGTTTATATTAGTCAGTCTTTTTGATTGAATAGTTTTCTCTAATAATCAGATAGTTGGTATTCCTCATCTTTCCTATTTTTTTTAAGTTTTTCTTACTCTGACTAGTAGTCTGTCTCCAGTAGCTGGAGGGTTTTACTCACAGGGGAGACTTTTTCTGACTGTGTAAATACCAGGTACTTTCACTGAGGATGATCATGCTTCCAGACCAGTGGATAGCTAAGTTGTAGCAGGGCTTTCCCGAACCTGTAGGAAGTGATTCAAAGAAAAGAGGTGACAGGGGGAGAGTATCACCCACTCATGATCTTTACTTCAAAAAGTAGTGCCCCTTCTAGGATTCTGTATCTTGCTTTTCTCTTGCCAATCAGCTGGCAGGTTTAGGAACCAGTTAGTTCAGCACCTATAGAAGAATCAAGCTCTTCTGTGCTTAATGATGCCTGTTTTTGTACGTTTTCCTAGGTTTCTCTGACTTGTTCTCAAGTATCAATATAGTTTAATAGGTACAGGAGGAATGTGGGATGGGATGGTTTGGGAGTTTGTATCATTTTTTTTCCATTTACGGAATCTGTTAGGAATCTCTTAGCTTTTGTGCATGGTGTCTAGATGTAAAGCTATTTGAAAAACAAAATGCCAAGATCTAGATGAGGTCAGAACATCTAGAGATTAAGCCCCAATGAATGCAGCCTATTTTGATTCATAAGTGCTGGAATAGTCAGTGCAAATCTGTCTTCATAGAAAAAGAGCTAACTAGACCAGCAGCTAGAAGTCTTGAACAAGCTGCAGGTCTGAACTACATGGCTTCGGTTCTACACGGGCTCAGTGGCTTTGGCATGTCAGCAGGGAGGACTTTGCCCATGCTGGGGCTTAGGCTTTGTGCCTGTGTTGCTGCCACTTCTCCTAGCCCCCACTTCCTGGCTGTGGCACTGATACAACTTCCAGCCTGTGGGGAGCTGGACTAGGGCTGTGCAGCTAAGAAGCTGCATCCTCGCTTTTGTTCGTTCTCCCCATTCCCTCCCACTGCCTTGTAGCTGCCATGTGGCTCTGCACTAACTAAAAGCTGTGCCTGCTCCACAGCCAGGGAGTGGGGACCTGGGGGAAGGGGCAGCAGTGTGGCACAGCTTCCAGTTGCCCAGCTGTGGCACAGCTCCTTGTTGTCTGGCCCCAGTATGGGCACAGGCAAAGTCTTCCATCTCTGCAGGCTGGATCCATTGGCTCCACTAGCTGGACTTGGCTTTGCTTATCCCTGAACTAGACTGAGGCAAATCTAATATTTTTTATTTCTTAGTACAGAGGAGTTCTGTATTGCTCTGATGACCCTCAGATAGCCAAGGAGAACTGAGCTTGAAAAACTAACCAAGTTATCAGCCAGTCTGGTGGGCAATGTCTACCTCTAGTGTTCCAGATACTGATATTCAGGTGAAGGAGCAGCTCTGAAAGCCTGGTTATATTTGTGTCTTTTTTTGTTGTTGTTTTGTGTAGGTGATTTTGTTCTTAGATCTCTTTATGCTTGTAAAATTAAGCTTCTTGTATATGGATTCACTCTCTTAATTAAATCTTGTGTCTGGTTTTGGGGGTGGTAAAGGAACAGAGTTGGTAAATTATTTTCTTCATATGTGCAGGCTGTAACATGGGCACAGTGGGGCACATTCCCTTACACTTTTTCTTTGGTCCCGTTTTATTCTTTCAAATGTTGATCATAGGAAAAAGTTGTTAAGTGTGACGGTTGGACAGTTTTGTGTAGCAGCAATCTCATCCCAGATTATGGAACTCAACTCTGAGTTTACTACATACAGATATACATTTATAAGCGGATATTAAAATGTTAGATGCTACAGCATTGCTGACTTTTTTTTTTTTTTAAAGTAGCCAGATCTTTTTCTTTGTCTGGAGTCTTATGATGACATTCTCTAGCAAAATCCTGGTTCTTTGTGGAGGAGCACAGCCCTGACTGCCTCACCTCGCCCACTTCTGATATACAACATTGATAACTGAGCCTGCCCAGGAAGCAGGAAGATCTCCTGCACCACCCCTATCTTTTTCATGAGAGGGGAGAGGAAGGAATTGGGAGTCTAGCAGGAGAATATGTGCTTTCTTCCTTTTCCTCCCCTCTGTTTCTCTTATCTTCTTTCTCTCCATTGCAGTACTTGATGCACCAGAGAGAGTGAAGAAGGGCATCTTACTGCAGCCTGCAACTTTTGTGGGGGAGGGAAGTGCTAGATATAGGGGAGAGTTGATGGAGGAAGGAGCTTAGCAGATCCTGACTTGCAGGTCAGAAGGCAGGTAGTTGTGAAGATAAGAGCTGTGTAACGGGGCTGAAGTCCCCATTTTCAGTAAATTTAGTGTGTGGACGGCACTATTTCTTATTTGTACACAAAGCCTACACAGTGTGTGAAAATCAAAAAAATAAACCAAAAGTACCATTTAATATTTTTGTTTAAAAAAAACCCAAAACCCCACATACACAATCCCAGAGCCATTCATGACATGAAGAAGAGATTGGGGGGAGAGGAATATACATCTGACTCACGGGTTTTGAACCTGTGCGACTGGCAGTACTTTGTCTGGTATAGTGCTGGTTCGTGTTTGATGGACTGTATTGTCTCGGTCTCTTGTGGACTCAGATCCAGTGAACTCTTCAGGTTTTTCAGATGCCTGTTTGGCTAGGTACCTGTAGAAACGTATATCCACCTTGCTGGCTCGGTATATTCATTCTGCTAGTAGTCTGGAAGACAACATTTTGGACAGCTGTTTAGGCCCTGTGGAGTAGACTATTGTCATGCCACAGATTATTTGGGGCATGATTTTGAAATTTACCTGACACTAATAATCTTGAAATCACATATTTGTGGTTTATAAATCAGTCCTAATGCCTTTTAAATAACATAGTTTGCAGTTTATTTCAGAAAGATGAACTACTGGTATTTAGCTCCCATTTCTTTGTTATTTAGGATCAAATTTAACAGCAAATGTACTCTGTAGCATGCCTATGTGTTTGGCTTTTAAACTTGTTTTCACTATATTTGAATAACTTTTTTTAAAAAAAAAAGCAATCTTATTCTAGCTTCCACACACACACTACTGTACCAGTAGTACTGTGATCATAGAGGGTATGCAGCCACCTCTTAGCCAGGTGTGGAACCTAAAATAAGTGTCACTGTTTTCTTTCCTTTCTTTTTCTTAGGTAGAGAGGTTGATATTAAAACCAAACACATAGGCATAATCAGGAGGACACTTCTTAACAGAATACCCTACTTCAAAGGTACGTAAGAATTGGGGCACCTGCTGAATGACTTAGCTTGAGTTCTGTTTAAATTATTGTATGCTCTTGGCTCTCCTTAAATAGGACCTAGAAGTAGGCACCTGTTAGATTCTACACTACCAATATCTTTTTTTTACTAACTTTTAAAACTAATATTTAAATCATTCATATGGGGGAAAATAGCATGCGTGTTAAAGTCAAAGCAAAACAAAAACTAATTGTAAGAGCCTAATTTCAAAAGGGTGGTGGTGCTTTTTGATTTTTCAGCCTTGGATTCAACTCCATTGAGCTTGGTGGATTAAAAAAAAATTCTTATTTGTTTATAATAGTTAACTATATGTAAAATTAGATTATAGTTAACACACAATTTTCCACATGCATATGCACATACCAGGATGGAGAATGTGTTCTTGGACTCCTTTGGGCACTTTGTAAAATAAGTAGCAGTGTATCTGGTTTGTTAATCAGTGTAAAAATTTCAGTTTATTCTGTCTCCTCCCACCTTCACTTCTCCCACAATGTCATTGCGCTATTGTCCAAGCTGCACAAGTTGGACAGCAGTTAGACCTCACCCTCCCCATTATTCAGTACTAAAGACCTTCTTCATCATTACTGTTCCTCCTTTAGTGTACCTCTTCTGCAAATTCTTTCCTCCAAAGAAGCACATAGTATGGATGTACATGTGTGCATACAAAATGATATGTATACTGCTTTATCTGATCTGGCGTCTTGTAATAGTCTGGTGTATTGAATAATAACTTACCTTGTAGGTTTCTTGTCTTGTGGTTTTTTTAGAATAAAGATATGCGGTAGTCTGAATAAGCCGAGTTCCTATTCAGAAGTATGAAGTGTTTTTAAGTACAACTTGAAAGTTTGGGAAAATTATTTCATTCTATAAACTTACTTTTAACAGGAAATGTATGAGGTTGCCAAGAAGCTTTGCTCCTTTTGTGAAGGTCTTGTCCATGATGAACATCTTCAGCATCAAGGCTGGGCTGCCATAATGGCCAATTTGGAAGATTGCACACATTCTTACCAAAAGCTGCTTTTCAAGTTTGAAAATGTATACTCAAGCTACCTGCAATCTATAGATGATATTAAGCTGAAACTCACACAGTAGGTTTGCCTTTAAGCTCTTTATTATAGTCATAGTTGCTTATCCTTTACACCTTTTTTTACCTCTACAGTTGGTTCTGACCAATCCAATAGACATTCTGATTTCTGTACACTTTTTTTGTTTTGTTGTATTTCATATTATATTCAATGTTTTGTCATAAATGCTGTAGGTTAAATATTCAGGGCTGGGCATGTTTATAGTAATTGAAGATACTGCACAATGTTTTAATGATGTAATTTTAAACATCTCTCAATTGAAATGGGAAGTTTTAGATGAAGAAAATCTATAGAGAAAGGAAAGAGAGTCCAGCGAGTCAAATAAGAAAGAACAAAATGTTTTTTTTATTAATCATCCTGACATGATTTTATTAAAAATCTAAAGTTGCAAGATTTAATATTAACCAGCAGTACTACATTCATCATTATTATCTTGTCCTTAACTTTATTTCTTATATATCATTTTGCTTTTTTGATGCCAGTGACTTTTCTGCATTTGTTGTTTTTTTTTAAGCTTGGGGACGGCTGTTTCTGTCATGGCCAAGATCCCGCTGCTGGAGTGCCTAACCAGACATAGTTACAGAGAGTGTTTAGGAAGATTGGAATCTTCTACTGACCGTGGAGGAGAAGAAAGTGAAGGAACTGAGGATGAAAAGTCTGCAGAACTAGTTCTTTTTTCTGATATTCCTAGAATGAACAGTAAATCAGTGGTAGCCTCATTTTGCAGGTCAGTGGAGCATTCAGCCCTGGACAGCGCAGCTCCTGAAAATATCACGGACAATAAAGAATCCAGTCAAAACACTACTATTCAGGACAATGAAACTTCAATGGAATTGAAGGAGAATGATCAACCTTCCTTCAATGTATCTCTGTTAGACTGGATAAATGTTCAGGATAGGCCTAATGATGTGGAATCACTGGTCAGGAAATGTTTTGATTCTATGAGCAGGGTAAGTTCCCACGTGAAAAAATAAACTGTTTATCAAGGTAAGTAAATAGGAAATGTGCTACTCAAATTTTATTTAGCTTGCAGATGCCAGTGTTTTTTAAAGTTAACAATAATGTGACCTTAACTGCGTAGTTACTTTCAGTTCCAGCAGTTATCTTCATGTGGAACAAAGAAGGAAGAAAAAAAAATGGAGACTTGCTAGATAGAAAGAAAAGTGAGCTCACATTGTGAACTCACAGGACATGGGGGTGTGTGTGTGTGTTTGGAGATGTGTTGCAGCATACTTATTACTGGGCATGGGTGTGTGTATGTATGTTTAACATTTTTTTTTAAATTTAACATCCAATAGCTAAGGTAAAAAAGTCTTTCTTTCTTTGTGTAGCCTTTATGGAAACAAGTGTATCTGACCTCTTGCCTTCTATGAAGGCAGCCAAGGACCCTTAAACCAGTACATTGTACCAAGCCTGTGTTGTAACCGCTAGTTCTTGTACTAGCATTGTCATATACATTTTCCTGGTGTTTTACTCCCCAGATGCATCTGTAGGAAGGGTGGGCAAAATACAGCTTGCGGGCTGGTTTCAGCCTGCAGGTGGGCACCCACTGTTTGATTATATTTGGCCTGCAGCGCTTCGTGTACGGCTAAGCCTCCACTGCTACTGACCAGGGCAGCCTGTGTTCCTGCCCACCTCAGCATCAGCCAGCGCACACAGATCCCTAGTGGGGCTGCTCTGTGTGGCTACAGCTGCAATGGTACTGTTCAGCTCCCCCCACTTCCAGTGGCGGCTCCTCCTTGTGCCCCTGCTGTGCCATTCCAGCACATAGTGCAGAGAAGCAGCGGCAGTTGTGGGGATGCATGCCAGACGCCCAGCCAGACAGGGAGGAAGCTGCAGCCAGGTGGCTCCTGCCTTGGCAGGGCTTGAGCTCCTGGCTGCCTTCCACCAACTCAGCTGCCTGCAAGTGGCTGCTTATCATGCCTGCCAGGTGGAATGTGGGTAGAAGGTGGCTGGGAGCTGGAGCCCCACACACTGAGGCAGAAGTGGCTTGGCTGCAGCTTTCTCCCTGCCAGGCTGGGCGTGTGGTGCCTGGCATGTGTCCCCACAGCTTCTGCACTCTGCCTGCTGCCCAGAGTGGCACAGCAGGGGCAGAAAGAGGAGTAGTTACTGGTGTATGGAGAGCCAAGCAGCTACAGCTGCACTGGAAGCAGCCCCGCTGGGTCTCTGTGTGTGCTAGCTTAGGCTCAGGTGGGTGGGAGCACAGTGCAGGCTGCCCAGGGTGGAAGCAGGTGGGGCTTGGCCCCATGTGGAACACTGTGGAGGCAGCCAGGCCAAATGGAGGGTGAACCACACTTGTACCATACCACCCCGCTTGAGCAAGCTCTGTTGCACACCTCCTTCCTCCCTCTCCAACACTTGGCTGACTCCTAGGACGTGGCATGAGGCAGTCTTTCTCTCTTCCTCTTATTCCCCCAACCCCCCACATATCTTCCTTACCTACCACACCCCACCCCACTCGCATGTGTCCCGTCCCACACACACAATATACGGGATTAGGACTATTTTGGGCTGCTATGCAATTGCCTCTATATATACTAATCAAAAAAAAAAAAATCAGGTCAAGAATTATTTTTTGAAGCCCAGCTGCTGGGAGGAGGCTGGGGCAAGCCCTGTCCCTGAGCACACAGCAGGCAGTTTGCCCTCACCCTGTGCATAAATTTGGTTGGGGGGGCACGTGCCCTGTATGAGTCCCCCAGGAGTACGTGCAGTGGCAGGAGCACCCCACCATGCCTCCTGGATGAGTGACCTGCCCCTGCCTCTGCTCCAGCCCCGCTCCCTCCCTCACGCTCCTTCGCCCCCCAACTGACTTACCAGCCAGACGCTGCTCTCCAAGTTGCCAGGCTGCGTATCAGCAGTCAGATCGGTATCAGCTAATATGGCTGGTCAATAATTAGCCATCGGTATCAACCAAAAAAATCTTTTTATCAGTACATCCCTAGTTTTGAAAAGTGATTTGATTTTTTTTTTTGTTTTTTTGTTTTTGTTTTTTTTTAAAGAACTCAGTGCTTTTTTTCCTGTCTGACATTTGCCATATTAATCTGCTAGCTTTTGTTTGGTGATACTTTATTCATATTCCTTCAGTTGTCACAACCCACAGTTGTGATTTTTTTTTTGTTTGTTTGTTTGTGTGCGCTTCGGCACTGCTAAATTATTTTCCCGCTAAATTGCAGCTTCTTTGCACGGTGGAGTTTTCTGCTGCAGAGGAGAACCCCGGTGCAACGGAGTATTCCCGTCAAATTTGTAGCTTTCTTTGCATGGTGCATTTCTTTTGCATCTAAGAAATGCTCGGTGCAAAGAGTTCCTGCCATTTGTATTCTAATTCGAGCCACGTTATTGGCCGATTCTAATACATGCACACGTGGCGGCTAGCGATTGGCTTGCTAGCCGTATAAAGAGCTTGGGTGGTTTCCGCCCAAGTTGGAGAGAGAGCAATTGGAGTTCGAGAGGGAGAGCGCAAAGATCTCTAAGCGCTGCGGATCCTTACGGACCCAACGTTTTTCTTAAAAGGCAATAGAGGCCTGATAACTGAACCCGTGGAGCTTCAACAACTCCGGGGAAAAGAACGAACAGCCTCTAGTCTCTCCCCGTCGCCGATAAATTCCTAGACGTATCCCTTCCTGTA